CATTGTCTGTCCTAGTTCCTGTTTGGCTTCTCACCTCTGTGCATGCCGCTCGTTTCTTTGAGGCTTCGAGTGACGCTTCAGATTCTGCCTTCAGAGCAGCTTCCTCCTGTTCTTAAAACTGGCCAAGGGTGTTCATTGCTGCTGTGGTATCTTAAAAGCAAAGAGCTCGTCCTTTAGCTGGTACTTTGCAGTTCTTTTTTTCCTGAGGCATGTTTTTTGCAGTTGCTGCTCAGGTAACTGTGGAGCGCGCCAGGCGTTTGAGGGAGGCCGTAGGTGCGACAGACGCGTTTGCTGTCGGTGGTGGGTGAGCTGTACCTGTCCACTGGTGTAAGCTGTTGTGTTTCTCGTTTGTAAATGTTGTCGTTTTTAACTTTGCAGGCATTTCAGCTGGGCCCAACAGAAGCGTCTTACTACTGGGTCTATTGGGTACCGACTCAATATGTTGATGCAATCAAAGACACGGTGCTGGGAAAGTGGCAGTATTTTTGAAAGCACGCTCACCTCTGGCACAGGAAAATGACACAAAGCTAAGGACACTGCTGGGAGAGGCCTCCAACAGCCCTGGATGTGACAGTCCTGGAACTTATTAATAAAATATTATAAACGAGGCGGTGATGGAAGCCAGAGGTGATGTTCTTTCACCATTAGTTTACTTTTAACTTAAAAATTTCACCATCCCTTTTCTGCAGTCAGCTTCAACCATATTTAAAGCAAATACAATGGAAATCAATAAATCTGAATTCACAAAATATTGTGTGTAATACACTTAAATCTGCTGAGAGTTGATCTTCCAATTTAGTTTTAAAAAGAAAATATTACAATGTACTGTTGAGGATTTTTTACATGGTTTGAACAAAAACAGATATTTTCATAATCTTTCAGTTACAAGCGTTAGACTTAATTTAGTTACTTGGTTGTGACTGAGAATTTCAGAAACAGTTTTTTAAAAATAAACTTTAAAACCGTATGCAAAGTTGATGTTTAGTAAGCCATATTCTGCTGGCCCTTTTATTTCAGGTCTGAATCTTTGGTAGCAAAACTCTTAATTTCTTTACATTTTTATTCTTTTTCAACCCAAAGATGCCCTGCTGTTGTTGGTTTTTTTTTTCCCCCTCTCCTTCTTTCCCGTGCTGGACACTCCGGGCTGGTGCTCTGTGTAGCACGTTTGGAGCAGAGGAACACTGCTGTGGGTGTGTGTGGTCCCGGTGACCCAGTGCTGCTTGCTGTCCCCTTTGTGCCGCCTCGGTTGTCCCCCTGCCGCCCGCGCACCTCTCTGCTCTGCGCTGCCCTGCCCCGCGGCGCGGTGTGTTCCGGAGCGTTGTCTTCATCGCGCGCGTTGCGGCCCGGAGCCACCTGGCAGCTGTTGCGATGACGCTGACCCGTTTGACTGAAGAAAAGGCTCCGGCATGCCCGGCGTGAGCGGGTGCAGTGGTGGCACGGCTCTGGCGAGGGGTGAACCGGGGGGACCTTCCTGCCTTGTCTGGGCCTGGGGGAGCGGTGAAGGGCGAAGCTCGGATGCCGCTTCGGGTCCGAAATAACTGCAGTTGTCTGTTATGAGCTGGATTTGAAAATTTACAGTTACCTTATTCAGTGAATCTTACCGAATTTGGGGTACCTACCCAGCAACTGATCTGTTGAAAATGTAAATCACCTGTCAGCTTTTCTCTTGCTCAGGTTTACGGGAAGTCCTTGGTCGTGCCCTGTCTGAAGCAGTGCTCCTCGCCTTTGGTTTGTGACGCTGGGCGTCAGCGCGGCGACCCGCCTGCCGTTGATCTCAGGTGTTCTGAACGGACCTTTCGGTCCTGCAAAGGTGCACACCCGTAACAGGCTGCGCCGGGCAGCCAGCCTGAATCAGTCTTGCTCTGTGCGAAACCTGCATCTGACAGGTCGCTGTTCTTAACGCTGCAGGCCTGCTACTGCTCAATGCAGGCAGCTCAGCTTTCTGTGAGACTCGTGGGGAAGCAGCCTTGTAGGAATAGCTGATCTTAACATGTTCCGTGGCCTTTTTTCACTCTCCTTGAAACAGCCCACTTGAAACTCAGCAGGTGCAAATTCCCAAATGGGTATTTATTTTATTTTTATGTTGTTTCTGAGACTGGGAAAAGCGTTCACTTTATGGTGTGTATGCAGATTGCGTATTTACCCGTAGACTCTTGGCGGCAGCATAAGCAGCTTTTGTTTTGTATTTTCAGTTAGAACATTGAGGCAATAAGAATTTTAAAGGTGTTTCATATCCTACATATAAACTAGTGATGTGCTTATTACTCTTGTAGCTTGAGATATTTGCTTCCTGTGTAGAAGGCACCAGCAGTCTCTCTCGCCATAGCCGCGCTGAGACGGGAGCCATCCCTGCCCCGGTGCTGTCGGCTCCCTGGAGCAGCCCCGGCCGACGCTCGGAGCAAGCGAGCGCAGGCAGCGGAGTTGGCGTGAGTCAGCTGGGGATGAAACTACAACTTCCATGCAATTATGGCACTTCTTATTTTCTAGTTGCCAATCCCGGGGTTAAGGCTTAAAGTTAAGTACCTGGTGGAAAGTGTACGCACTGCGGTATCGTGGAAGTGGGTGACACGAGCTCTTCCTGTCGCCTGGGGACAGCTTTGCACTTGCCGTGCTGTCGGTTCTGTGGTTGTCAGCTCCCGCTTGCTACTCGACTGGCTGGGACCTCTCTGTGCATCCATTCGTATTCCGTTTTCCTTGCCTACTCCTCCATTTGCTTGCTCCTCATTCCAGTCCCTCCCCAGAGCTCCCGTGGCTCCCGTGCTCGCAGCAGTGACCGGGGCTGGTGCTGAGGGCGGGCAGGTCCCCGATCGGTGGCTGCCGGGGCGAGAGGGGCACCTTGGGCACGGAGCATGGGGCAGAGTTTAGCACTCCTGTCTGCTCCTTCCCTAAGGGCTCAGCTGCTCTGCATCCTGTGCCGGGTACAATCGATCGTCTCGAAGGAAACGGAGTATAAAAACCGTGGGTTAGAAAGCAGTTTTAAACATGGGGAAGAAAATATTGCAAACTCAGAAAATGTGGTCCTGTTCAGGTGCTTCTTTTCAAGTTGAATTTGATTTGAAAAATGAAATTGTTATAACTTTTTTGTTCTGTGTACAAATTTTGAATTAAAATACAGGAAAGTGATACTTACGTAAAATGTTTTAACTGGTGTTTGTTGGCTTAATACGGTAGGTTTCCTGGGAGTTCTTTGAAATGAATATTCCAGCTGAACGTAGCAGCGCTGCTTTTGAGAACCTGTCTCTTTCAGCATGGCGTGGAGCTTTGTGTCTGCTGGTGTATACCGATTTTTCCAAGGCAATT